ATGGCACCAAACAAAATGAAAATTACATGTGGCATTCAGTTTTCATGTTTCTTAGTCTCCTACAGCCTGAAACATTTCCTCTATCTTTCCGTGATTTTTGTTGACATTTTTGAAAACTGCAATTTATTTTGTTGAAATTCTTAATTTGAATCTAACATTTTCTCATGATTGGATTTACCTTAAAATGATTATTTTCCAAGAATACCCACCACTGAATTGGTCCTTCTCAGAGCATCCTGTCAGAAGTAAATATATCTACTTGTCTCATTATACCTGATGTTAATTCTGATCAGTTCATTATGGTGCTGTCTGCTAGACATCTCTGCTATAAAGTTAATGTTTTACTCTTTTTAATTAGTAAGTTCTGCTGCTATTCATAAGGTTTTCACTGGATAATTCTTTTCAGAAGTAGACCACCAGGTCCTTCTTCCTAGTCTGTCTTAGTCTGGAAGCTCAGCTGAAACCTGTCCCCCATGGGTGACCCTGCTGGTATTTGAATACCGGTGGCATACCTTCCAGCATCATAGCAACATGTAAGCCCCCCCAGTATGACAAACTGACAGACTCTGGGTTTGTTCCGTCCTGTGGCTTCATCTCACATACTTTGGACATGCTATCAAAAGGGATCAGTCCCTGGAAAAGGACAGCATGCTTGGTAAAGTAGAGGGTCAGTGAAAAAGAGGAAGACACTCAATGAGATGGACTGACAGCTTCAAGGATGGGCTCAAGCATAACAACGATTGTGAGGATGGTGCAGAACTGGGCAGTGTTTCTTTCTGTTGTACATAGGGTTGCTATGAGTAGGAACAGACTCAGTGGTACCTAACAACAATTAGTATCTTGTGAAGATCAATCTCGAGATTTTATAAATATCTTGTTCTCATCAAAACTTTCCCATTATTTTCCCTTTTGACTCTTGAAAATAATGATAACTATGGTGGATGCCAACAGGTGAATTTCTATTTCCATTAGTCCTTATCCATTTATTAGTTGGATTTCTGCTTTAAGGAAGAGCTTTAACTTCTATTTATTTGTAGATTTACTATTATGGATACATATTTAAATCTATAACTGCTACTATTATTTAAATCTACTACTACTATTATTAGTTATTTTGATACCAATTATCCCTTTACTAATAAGCATTTTTTACTAAAGAATATTTGAAAATTCTAATTTTAGTTCCCTTCCCTTCCATCTTCATTCAAGTCCTAAGAAAAATATTTGTATCAGTTTTTACTATTTAATTTTTTTTTTCTTTTATTTAATCTTTGGCCAGAAAATGTAACAAAATTGACATTTCCATTTAACTTGTGGAGCTTTACTTTTTTTCTAATAAATGCTGACATAAGGAGATGTCCAATATTTTCTTTACTATTTTCTTAGTTACCTAGTGCTGCCATAGCAAAAAAAATACAAGTGAGTGGCTTTAAAGAACAGAGGGCAAGAAGAAGCTGTCCTGACTGAGGAACTGCATCCTGAGTTGTTCCTGTTACTTCCAAGTTGATCCCAATCCAGAATTGTACCGTTACTTCTCTAATAAACCACTTAACCGTAGGCAGTTAGTGAGTTCTATAAAATGTTGCAGTGAATTACCAAACCAAAGATGGGAGGGAGAGTACTGAGGGGAAGAGGAGTAGCTGATGTTAGAGATCATGGACCGGTACAGTAGTTTTGGAAAGCTGCACATATGAGAAATCTTTTAACTTCTGCCTCATAGGAACGAGTTTTATGCTAACCCTCATAAAAGAAATTATTCAATTACAAATATAGATCAGACTCTCGGTTTGTTCCATCCTGTGGCAAAATTTTTCTCAATCTGTGGACCTGTGAAACCTAGGATACTAGATATGTGCTTGGCAAAGTACAATGTGGGACAGGCATGAGACACACATTCATATTCCAAAAAGAAACTGGAGGAAAAGAAGGAGCCATGGGTCCCAAGCAAGTTCAAAATCCAGCAGGGCCCATCTCATTAGCTCTCAAAACTTGAAAATAATTATCTGTTCTTCAGGACCATCTGGGTATCAACCATGTCCTCCAGACTTCTGGAAGGGGCCCTAGCCTCCAGACTCTGGACAGAAGCCCCTAAGCCCTAGGAATCAGCCCTACTTCCAGACCCACTAGGACAGCAGCTCTGCCCCCTTGGTTTTGGCTGGCCCCATTCTCCTGGTCTCCTAAACAATGATTTCAACACTTAGGCCCTTGGTGACCCCATTAACCAGCCCACTGGAACAGGAGCCCATCTCCTCAACTTTGAGTGATGGCCTCATTCTCCTGGCTCACTCAGACAGCAACCCCACCCTCTGGAACCAAGGAAGCAGAAGACATGCCGGCTGTACTCCTCCTTTCCTCTTGCTGGATGACTATAGGTATTTGCAACCCAGTAGTTCCACTGGCTCCTTTCCTACCTGTAGAATTTCAGAAGGCAGACTTAATTTCATCCTGTCTTTGTCCATTTCAGTCTAGGTCGACAGGGTTTCTTACTAGGTAGTTGACTGACTCCTTCAATGTAAAACAAATCTTTTTAGCAAACAGGTGTCCTTTCAGGACATACTTAGTTCTTTCAATCAAATAACCCAAGTCATCATGTTCTGGTTTGTTTTTGCACATCTCATTTTCAATCTCTCACTTACCTCCAATATTTCACTATAAGCATCAAGGAGAAACCACATAGCCCGTTTAAGTTCTTGCTGATAGAAATCTCTCAGCTAAATATCCAAGTTCATCATTTTCATGTTCTACCTTCCACAAAACATTGCAACATAATTCAGACAAGTTTTTTTGCCACTTCATAACAAGCACCGTGTTTCTTCCAATGTCCAAAAACATGTTCACTTCCTTTTAAAGCCTCAGCAAAAATACATTTAACATCCACATCTCTAACAAAGTTCTATCCATGATGAAACTTTTTCTACAGAATCTTTCATTTCTTTATGCACCCTCATCAGAATCTTCGTTAATGTCCATAATTATAATAGTAGTCTGTTCAAGGTTATGTAGGCTCTCACTATCAAGCGTATCAAAATTCCTCCAGCTTCTGCCCATTACCAAATTCCAAAACCACCTCCACAGCAAATCTGATGACTTACATAAAACTGATGAATACCCTGAAAGACAACTACCACACTTCACTCAAGGACAAACAGATTATCTAAATAAGCCTATAACTACTAAATATATTGAATCAATTTAATAACCTTCCAAAAGATGAGGCACCAGGCTCAGCAATTTCACTGATGAACTCTAACAAACATTTAAAAAAGAAAATGAAACCAATTTTCTACCATGTCTTCCAAAATATAGAAGCAAAGGAAACATTCCCTCAACTATTTGATGAGGTCAACATTGTCCTAATACCAAAAAGGCATTACAAGACAGGAAAACTACAGACAGGTATCTTTCATGTGATACATGTAAACACAATAGAGCCAGAAGAACTAACACCAACACTGAAGAAGAAACATACCACTGAAGGATTGACACAACCAGACTTAAACACTATCTATAAAGCTACAGTAAGCAACAGTGTCTTATTGATGAAAAATGCAAAAGCCCTCAAAATCTTTAGCATATGGAATCCAACTATATATAATACACCATGACCAAGGTTATTTGGACTTAGAATACTTATAACACAGTGCACATCCATGAATACAAGGGAGAATTTAGGAGGTAAGATTGTGAAATTGTACACTATTGGTATTTTTATTACAGCCACATAAACATCCAGGGGCAGAGAGCAGAGAGAATACCTCAAGTGCAAATTATGAGTATATATTCCCAGAACTGTATATTGTTTAGTTCCATGAAGGACAGGAATTTTTATATATGCCATTTAACCGAGGACAGGAATTTTTATATATGCTATTTAACTGTGACAGCCTAATAGTACATCGCTAGAAGTACCCTGCTGAGGTGGAATATGTTGATAGAACGAATGCCATTTGGTAAAAGTTATGACAAAAATGAATAAACTTTACTAGTTAAAAGGCATATGATACTTTTATCATGAGAGGAGCCCTGGCTGCTTGGTTGCTAACCAAAAGGCCTGCTATTCAAACCAACCCAGCAGTTCTGGAGAAAGACCTGGCAATCCGCTTCTGTAAAGATTACAGCCTAGGAGACCTTATGGGGTAGTTCTGCTCTGTCTTATAGGGTCACTATGAGTTGGAATGGACTTGGTAAAAAAACAACACACCATGAGACCTACGATACATTCTGAATAAATCAATACCAAAATGTGAAGCTAGTGGTTAAATATGAATCCAACACATACACACTCCATTTTGGTTCTTTTGTTCTCCCCTCTGATAATTGTGTTTCCAAAAACAGGGCTAATTTTCATAAATCTTTCATATAAAACAGCTATTGCAATTCAAAGGAGAAGGTGACCATAATTAGCCCTCCAATATTTCTACCACATGAGCAGGCCCTAGTAACTTATCACTCTCCTCCCATGAAAATCTCGGTCTCTCAATATGCAAGCATGGTCTGTTTCATAATCTCTTGGTAGAATAATCCTTTCCTGTAACATTAAGGTGCACTCTGGTGAAGGTGGCCCTGAACACAAATCATGATTTAGATTGTTTTACATCTATTCTTAACTCCTCACCATAATCTTATTCCAACTGTCACAATTTATGTTAAACTCTGTGTCCTTGTTATTTTAGGGAACATGAGTATGAATGAACAAATGAAGTAGAGGCATTCATCTCATGCATCACTTCTGGAGACAATCATGGTAATGTGTGAAAGGTCAGTAATGAAGGCATAAGAGCAACAGATTTCAAACCTCAGGTAGAAAGTCATTGTAACAATGGCGTGGCAGCAGTGTCGTCTGACCTCTTCATCTAACTTCACAAGGGAGGAGAATCAAGATCATCTGCCCATGGCTGATTACTATGAAGCAGAGGTCAGACTTATCTCCTCTCTCCAAACTTTTTACCAATTCTGATACCAGCCGTCCCTCCCATGGCACTCTCTACTTCTCTGCTGGATTTGACAGTTCATTGCAATGGCCACACACAACTCACAGATAATACTCACAATTACAGGGTTTGTTAGGGAAGTAACCGGTTACAATTCAGGATTAGAAAAAACTCAGGATATAGTTCTTTGGTCATGACAGCTTCTTAGTAATTCCCACAGGCAGGCCTCTTCATTGCCCTTGGACTCTTGGCCCTCAGCCCCTCAGGCCAGCCCAGCCTCTACCCTGCTCATCTAAGTATTACAGGGATCTTTATGTCCACCAATAAGTGCCTAGAGGTACCCACTCCACCAGTAAGCCTTGACCCAAAGGCACTCAGCTCTCTAGCACTGTGGGTCAGCAAGCCTAGCTTTGCCAAGTGCCAGTAGGCATTCCACTCAGCCAATAAGCCACCTGCCCAAAGGTGCTGAACTCTCTTGCTCTGTGGATCACCACACCTACTGTAGTCACCTTGTGCTGTAGGCTGTGAAGCCCACCATGCTGTCTCCTGGTTCTGCTGCTGCCGCGTCTGTACCACCACTTCTCACCATATCTGTTGTTAAACTCTCTGTCTCCTGGGTCTAGGAGGTTTGCAGTGCAGGGAGACTCCAGGTCCAAAGGATATGCTCCAGTCCCAATTCTTCTTGGTGGTAGTGAGGTTCCCCCCTCTGCTCTAGGATTGGCTCCCTTTGAAGCCTAGCTGATAGCAAAACTAACCAATACCCTCATTAAGGTTCCATATCCTTTATTTGCATGGGTCTACCACAAAGGTGCCATGCACCATATTTGCATTATTACCAAGCTATCCAATCCCCTTGGTGGGCCACAAGTACCTCATTTGCATAGTCCCACCCAGTCATTTGGTGGAGTTAGAAGACCATGGCAAGAATGGCCATATAAAAGCGATCCACCACACCACAGTCATGAATAGTAATGTAGTCTTTTCAAGAACCCTCATATAACTGAACAATCTTTCATTTACCGAAGATAAGTGGACCTTTATACTAATGTCTTTGCTCCTTCACAAACATCGTAAGTTTTAACAGGTCTTGACCTTACACAGAATGTAACATCTGAAGTTGCTTGATCTTTGAGGACGATAGACTTAGTGTGAATTCTGACGTGTAGTCCATTATGAGAATCAGTTAAAAAGATGTACCTCATTCGTTACATTTTTACAGTTTCTCTCCAGTATGAATAGTCTCTAGACCTCCAATGTTTGATAAAAACCTTACCACATATAGTTGTAAGGTTTCTCTCCAGCATAAACTTTCAGATAATTTTCATGCTGTGAATTTTGAGTAACGACCTTGCCATATACAGGGCATTTATAAGGCTTCCCTCACTATTCTCGGTATAGTGAGGAATAAGGCCCACTTAAGGCTTTGCCACTTATTAAACTGTAATGTTTCTTTCTAGTATGAATTCTGATGTTCCACAAAGCATGAACTCTGATTGGAAGCCATACCAAATTCATTACGAGTAAAGTTTCTCTCCAGTATGAATCGCCTGATATTCGACAAGTTTTAATCTTTGTGCAAAAGCCTACATTAATAACATTTCTAAGATTTCTCTTCAATGTGAATTATGTGATGAATTGTAAAACTTTTTCCTTCACTAAATACCTTGCCACATATATTAAATGTACACAATTTCTCTCTACTGTGGATTCTGTGATGTGAGATTTGAGCCAAGAATTTCCTTTACTCATTACTTAATATTTGTAATTTTTTTGTCTTCAATATGAATTCTCTCATGACCCTGATGGACCGAGGCTGCTAAAAGCCTTGCCAAATTCACTACATTTTTAAGGTTTCTCTCCAGTATGAATTTTCTTATGATCCCAAAGGTGAAAAAATGTGATAAAAACTCAGCCACATCCATTACATTTGTATGGTTTCTCTCCAGTTTGAATTACCTGATGTTCAACAAGGCTTGAAGCACAGATAAAAGTCTTGCCACATTCACTGCATTTGCAAAGTTTCTCTCTGGTATGGATTCTTAGATGAATTTTAAGATTTGTGCTATGAGTATTGAACTTGCCAGATTACATTTATAGGATTTCTCTCTAGTATGGATTCTCTGATGTCTAATGAGGGCTGAATGAGTGTTAATGCCTTTGTTACACTCATTACATTTGTAAAGTCTCTGGACAGAATGCATAGCCTGTTGTTCTCTAAGGCTTTTAGGATTACTAAACCCCGTCACACACATCACATTTATGTGGTTTTTATATAGTATGGATTCTCTAATGTCTAGTGCCATTTGAGTCTCAATTAAAGACTTCCTGACATTTATTACATTTGTATGCTTTCTCTCCACTATGAATTCACTGATGTTTGATTAGACTTAATGTTTGAATAAATGCCTTCCCACATTCATTACAATGGTAAGGTTTCTCTCCACTGTGAATTTGCTGATGTTTCAAAAGATATTATTTTCAGGGAAAATCCTTGACACTTCATTACACTGAAAGGTTTCTCTCCACTGTGAATTTGATGATGCTGCACAAGAATTGTTCTTTGGGAAAAAGCCTTAGTGCATTCAATACATTGGTAAGGTTTCTCTCTACTATGAATTTTCTGGTGACGTGTAAGGCCTGAACGTCGACTGAAGACTTTGCCACATATATTACATTTATATGGTTTCTCCCCAGTATGGATTTTCTGATGTTTAGTGAGGTCAGAGCACCATGTAAAGGTTTTTTCACATTCATGACATTTGTAAGGTCTCTGAACAAAATGAATTCTCTGATGATTAACAAGGAATGACCTTCGGATAAAAGCCTTACAACATTTATTACACTGGTAAGGTCTCTCTCCACTGTGAATTTGCTGATGTTGCACAAGACTTGATCTGAACATAAAAGCCTTGCCACATTCATTACACTGGTAAGGTTTCTCTCCACTATGAATTCGCTGATGTTCAACTAGACTCAACTTTCGGGTAAATGCCATACCACATTCATTACATCGGTAAGGTTGCTCTCCACTATGAATTCGTTGATGTTCAACTAGACTCAATTTTCGGATAAATGCCTTAGCACATTCATTACACTGGTAAGGCTTCTCTCCACTATGAATTCGCTGATGTATCACAAGATTTGATCTTTGGTAAAAAGCTTTATTGCATTCATTGCATTGGTAAGGTTTCTCTCCATTGTGAATTTGTTGGTGTTTCAAAAGATCTGATTTTCGAGTAAAAGCCTTATCACATTCATTACACTGGTAAGGTTTCTCTCCACTATGAATTAGGTGATGTTGCACAAGATTTGATCTTTGGGAAAAAGCCTTACCACATTCAATACATTGGTAAGGTTTCTCTCTACTGTGAATTTTCTGGTGACGTGTGAGGCCTGAACATCGACTAAAGACCTTGCCACATATATTACATTTATATGGTTTCTCCCCAGTATGGATTCTCTGATGTTTAGTGAGGCTTGAGCCCCAGTTAAAGGTTTTGCCACATTCTTGACATTTGTAAGGTCTCTGAACAGAATGAGTTCTCTGATGATTAATAAGGACTGACTTTCGGGTAAAAGCCTTACAACATTTATTACACTGGTATGGTTTCTCTCCACTGTGAATTCGCTGATGTTCAACTAGACTTAATTTTCGGATAAATGCCTTAGCACATTCGTTACACTGGTAAGGTTTCTCTCCACTGTGAATTTGCTGATGTTGCACAAGTTGTGATCTGTAGATAAAGGCTTTGCCACATCCTTTACATTTGTAAGGTTTCTCTCCACTATGAATTTGTTGATGTTTCAAAAGATCTGATTTTCGGGTAAAAGCCTTATCACATACATTACATTTGTAAGGTTTCTCTCCACTGTGAACTCGCTGATGTTCAACAAGACTTAATTTTCGGGTAAATGCTTTACTGCATTCATTACATTGGTAAGGTTTCTCTCCACTGTGTATCTGTTGATGTTTCACAAGGTTTGATCTTTGGGAAAAAGCCTTACCGCATTCAATACATTTGTGAAGTCTCTCTCCACTATGAATTCTCTGATGTATTTTAAGGCTTGAACTTAGACTAAAGACCTTGCCACATATATTACACCTATGTGGCTTCTCTCCATTATGTATTCTCTGATGCGTAATGAGGTGTGAGTCACAGTTAAAAGTTTTGCCACACTCATTACATTTGAAAGTTTTCTCTCCACTATGAATTCTCTTATGACCCCACAGGTATGAACGTCTCCTAAATTCCTTACCACATTCATTACATTTGTAAGGTTTCTTTCCAATATGAAATCTCTGATGAGTTCTAAGGCTTAAATGTAGGCTAAATACCTTGCCACATATATTACATTTATATGCTTTCTCTCTGGTATGGATTCCATGATGTTTAGTGAGGTTTGAGCCACAGTCAGTGGTTTCGCCACCCTCGTTACCTTTAAAAGATCTCTGCACACAATAAATTCTCTGATGATTAGCAAAGATTGACCTCTGCCGGAACGACTTCCCACATTCATTACATTTGTAAAGTTTTTCTCTCCTGTGGGTTTTCCGGTGTTGTAGAAACAATGAAGGAGGCATGAAAACCTCCCTGTGTGCATTGGGAATGTTGCTTTGGACACTAGGAAGAATTCTTTGAAGGGATGGAATTGAAGATCCATTGCCGACAGACGTCTCCACTTGATGACATTTATACATTTTCTCTCCAGTTTGAAATTTCTGCATTTCAGCTATATGGGACTGAAATCTTAATTTAATTGTATTTTTAAAACATGTCATATACTTGTTTCCTGCATCCCTTTCGACACGGTGATCTCTTCTACCAGTGAAAATTTTGTTATGGGCTGTAGTCACTCCTTTGTTATTTCTTTCATCTTTTCCCCACTGACTCTCAAATTCATGCATATTTTCCCTAACTTGCCTGAAGAGAAAATCCTCGATGTCATGACTTTCATTTCTTTCTAACATCACTCTCTGGAATGATTCTCCTTTATCAATGATCTCTTTTGCTGATAATTCCTTGATCACACATGTAGAAATGACATCTATAAAAATATAAAGAATCAGAGGCTTCCTATTAACAACAGCTGAAAAATATTTTACATCCCAAAACACAGTTTTACACCAGCACTGTTACTCATAATAAGAGAATTTTGAAACTTCTCCATTATGGTCTTCAAGATTTTAGGAACACAAAATAAGATTCCTCAATGAATAAATGATGATTACGTTATTCATATCATTTTCAGGGAAGTTGAGTCTTAAACACACATACCACTCATGCTATATAAAGAACATAAGCCCTAAAGAGAAACAGATAGGTGGTGGCATTCTGTGATAGACTGCATTGCTATGATGGTGGAAGCTATGCTACCTGCATTTGAAATACCACCAGGGTCACTCAAGGCGTACAGCTTTCAGCATTACTTTGAAACTAAGACAGACTAGGAAGAAGGGCCTGGTGATCTATTTCTAAAAATTACCTGATAAAAATTTTATGGATAAAAGAATATTGTCTGAGATTGGTGCTGGAGGATGAACCCCTCAGGTTAGAAAGCACTCAAACTATGACTAGGGAGACCTGCCTCCTCAAAGTAGAAAAGACCTTAATGACATAGATAGAGTAGAGCCTTTGGGACCTTCATTTGCTTACGTACTGTGACTTAAAATGAGAATAGCTGCAAACTTCCATTACTAATCAGAACATCAAATGTATTAAGTATGAATCAAGAAACACTGAAAGTTGTCAAAAATGAAACAGAACATCTGAAGACAGATATCCTAGGCATTACTGAGTGGAAATAAACTGGCAGTGGCCAAGTTGATTCTGACAATCATACAGTCTAATATGCCAGGAACAAACAATTGATGAGAAATGATATTGCACTAATCGTCAAAAAGAACACTGTCATGTCTCTCCTAAAGTACAAAGCTGTCAGTGATAGGTTACTATTCATATACCTCCAATGAAGAGGAGTTAATACGGTTATTATTCAAATTTACACATCAACTACTGAAGACAAAGATGAAGAAATTGAAGATGTTTACAAAGTGCTGCAGTCTGAAATTTAACCAACATACAATCAAGATGTGTGGATAATTTCCGGGGATTGGAATGCAAAAGTTGGAAACGAAGAAGAAACACTAGTTGGAAAATACGGGTTGGTGATAGGAATTATGCCAAAGACAGCATGACAGATTTCTGTGAGAACGACTTGTTCATTGGAAACACTGTTTTTCCAACAGTAAAATTGATGACTATACACATGGACCTCACCAGAATCAAAGAATCAAATCAATATCTGTGGAAAGACATGATGAGAGAAGCTCAATATTATCAGTCAGAAACAAGTCAGGCACCGACTGCGGAATGGACCATAAACTGAAGTTCAAGTTGAAGCTAAAGAAAATCAAAGCAACTGCACGAGAGCCAAGGTATGACTTTGAATACACCACGTGTGAATTCAGAGACCATCTCAAGAACAGATTTGACACACTGAACACTAATAACCGATGAACAAAGAGTTGCGGGATGACATGGATGAATCTGGAAGGCATTACACTGAGTGAAATTAGTCAGCTGCAAAAGGACAAATATTGTATGAGACCACTATTATAAGAACTCAAGAAAAGGTTCAAACACAGAAGAAAACCTTCTTTGATGGTTACGAGGGTGGAGAGGGAGGGAAAGGGGAATTCACTAATTAGATAGTAGACAAGAATCATCTTAGGTGAAAGGAAGGACAATATACGATACAGGGGAAGTCAGCAAAACTAGACTAAACCAAAACTAAGAAGTTTCCTGAACAGCCAAACACTCCGAGGGACAGAGTAGAAGGGGCTGGGGTCCAGAAAGCATAGTTTTGGGGGACATCTAGGTCAACTGGCATAACAAAGTTTATTAAAATGTTCCACATCCCGCTTTGGTGAGTGGCGTCTGGGGTCTTAAAAGCTTGCAAACGGCCATCTAAGATGCATCAGTTGGTCCCAAACCACCTGGGGCAAAGGAGAATGAAAAACACCAAAGACATAAAGAAAATATTAGCCCAAGAGACAAAAGGGCCATGTAAATCAGAGACTCCACCAGCCCGAGACCAGAAGAACTAGATAGTGCCTGGCTACCACCAATGACTGCCCTGACAGGCAACACAACAGAGTCCCTGATGGAGCCAAATTCACATAAAAAGACCAGACTTAATACTCTGAGACTAGCAGAACCCTCAAAGCCATGGCCCCCAGACACTCTGTTAACCCAGAACTAAAACCATTCCCGAAGCCCACTCTTCAGACAAAGATTAGACTGGACTATAAAACATAAAATAATCCTCATGAAGAATGCGCTTCTTAGTTCAAGGAGAAACATGAGGCCAAATAGGCAGCTCCTGTCCAGAGGCAGGATGAGAAGGCAGGAAGGGATAAGAACTGGCTGGATGGACACAGGAAACCCAGGGTGGAAAGAGGGAGTGTGCTGTCACATTATAGGGACTGCAACTCATGTCACATAACAATATGTGTATAAATTTTTGTATGAGAAATTAACTTGAGCTGTAAACTTTCACCTAAAGCATAATAAAAAAAAGCGTTGTAGGATGACATCATATATAAAGAAAGCAAAAAGTCATTGAAAATACAGGAAAGAAAGAAAAGAACAAAATGAATGCTAGAAGATACTCTGAAACTTGCTCTTAAGCACAGAGTAGTGAAAGTGAACATAAAAATGATGAAGTAAAAGAGCAAACCAGAATATTTCAGAGAGAGGCTCAATGAAACAAACAGCTGGGAACAGAATAGTAGGATTCTAAGATTTGCACCAGATGGACTTGGCGTGAGAAGTGGGCTTTCTTATCCTGGATGCAAAAAGGGAAACCCTTAATGGGATAGACTGACATAATAGTTGCAACAAGGGGCTCAAAATTACCAACGATTGTAAGGATGGTGCAGGACTGAGCAATATTTCATTCTGTTATACAGAAGGTCACCATGAGTTAGAGGCAACTTGACAGAAACTAACAATAAGAACAAGCTTTAAGAGATGGAATATTTGTTCATTACCATCCTAAAGCAGATACTACTTGGTGTAGATATGTGGTTGCCTCATATTTGAAGAAAAACAAATATATTAATACATGCTGATGCATAATTACTGTACACAAATAAGTGCTAAAACACAGACCCATATAATGTAATGGTAAGTAAACATCGTAAAGTTATCTCATGAATAACATCGACCAATGACAACTCAGAATTGGAAAACAAAAAAAAAGCTCAGGTATAATCAGGTGGAATTTAAGAAAATACTATTTAAAAAAGAATAAAATATGCTTTCAAATATCTGTTTAAAAAACTATCTATACCCATGCAGAATAGGCATTTTGCAACATTTACAGCTGGTACATGGCAGTTATATTCCACAATAGATACTGAAAAACCAACACCTAAATATCATAATGAAAATTAATACATAAAACACTCCAATAAACCATGATAAACCCAGCAGGTACTTAATAAGTAACCACAAACAGAAAATTGTAGTCTGTAGAATTATAAAGAATTCTCCACTCTTCAGAACACACAGTATGAGAAAAAGAAAATATGTTGAAAATAAACTGACTTGAAATACCCTAGTCAGCTAAAGAAATAATACTAAGAGCATAAAAACAGGTACTGAGTCAGGTAAAATAAAAGTAAAAAGAATAACTAAGACTGTTTTTAAATAAAATTCTGGAGGTTTGATACAATTTAGGGAAATGACTGTTAAGCCATAACCCTAAACCCTCATGTAGGAACTCTTCTTGTAAAATAATAAAATACTCCTTCTTCAATCCCATCGCTCCACAAATTGCAGATACAAAACACACAACACTAAGAACACAATCATCAGAACACAAGAACACAATCATCAGAACATGTATTTGAAGATTGTGTGGTAATGAATCACCTTACTAAAAAAAAAAAAAAAAAAATTGGCTTTTGACCTTGGTCCCTGAGAAACAATCCTTGGAATTTCCTTAGTAACTGAGGTGCCATCATTATCTAAAACCTGCAGATCACACCTGAGGATATGTCCTAATGAGTGGGGGCTGGCCAGACCAGAGACCATCTAGTAGCTTGTTTTAACTAACCTCAGGAGGCATGATTTAACATATCACACATATGCAAAGATGCCTCAATCATAAATACATAACGAACTCAATAAAGACTCTGAACACAAAGGCTACAAGAGCTTCCCGGTTTGCAAAAAGACAGTGATACTTTCTCTTTGGGATATGGAAGCTTCATATTGGGAATCATCTCAGAACTCTGTAAGAAGCCCCCCTTCCTAATAATGATCCTGGTTTGTATCCTATTACTATAGTAAATCTGTAATTCTTAGTACTTTCTGTGAGTTCTGTGAGTTCTTCCAGGGAATTATTGAACCCAAAGAAATAGTGGGATCCAGGAGATGAAAGTGAGGGAGCCCAAGGAAAGCCCTCCAGCCTGTGGCTACCATCTGGAACATACAGAGGAAAAACCAGAATTTGTGGCCAGCAGGTGAAAAGAGTGTCGTGTGGCCTTCTAATCTTCCGGCAGGTATCTGCCTATTTGGCAGTATGAAGGATGGTGTCCTTTTAACTTGTGAGTTATGACCTAGCTCCAGGTGGGTAGGGGCAGAAAGAGGGGTGCCTTGTGGGTAGATAGTGTGACAGAGGATGAGGAATTGGGATTTGATCCATCTTCACATTTTAGGGATTGGATTTATGTTGATTTGTATCTGTGAAATGATTAAATAAAAAAGGATTGAATTATAAAACATGAAAAAGTGCAAGATGAATGCAGCAGTAGCTTAAATGGGTAAAACATATTACACTAGAGTTAAAAAATGTAGGCATCATTCAACCTCAGAAGTTCCTTCAATATGATGCAACCAAAGAGTAGCTATTGAAAGGGAATGAACAATGGCACCCTCATGGGGTTAACAATGTGGCATGAACAATAATTTTGTCAAAAGCCTCAAAGATATGAGGCTGTGAACGTGGACAATGTTCGAAGAAATTCCTACCCCATG